TGCACTAACCCTATGAACCTCCAATGCACGTGCAACACAAGATAATGCATTACCATGCACTGTGTTGGAAAAAATGCTGTACAATACTTGTTTGTTTGACTGTTCTGGTGCATTAGCAACCAATTCATTTGAATGAGCTGCCTTAATGCAATGTGCTTTTACCACGGGTTCACATATATGCGGTGTGGTATATCACATGTGATTCACACAGGAACCGCACCTCATTCCTGTGCAAATCCTATGTGATTTGTGTGCGGTGCAATTGGAGCTATACATTGTGTATGGCTCTAATCGCACCGCACCTGCACCAAAAAGATGCAGGACCCTTTTTTGGGTCCTCACTAGAATCGGATTGCATGGGTATGCACACTTATGCGATCCGATTCTGCACATTGCACAGCATTTTGTGGACCGATTTCGGTGTGTTGTTAACTTAACATACACCCCTGCAGCGGTTTGCATGAACGGGGTGCGATTCTGATGTGGTGCGGAATGCACACTGAAAATGCTGCAAATTCTGCATCGCATCAGTGTGAGCCCAGGCTTAAGTTTGACAGTTTATGACAGTTTAAGCCCCGGTTCACTCCAGTGCGATTTGTCATGCAACTTGACAGTTTAAAGTTTAAAGTCGCACCCTATTTGGAGCTGTTCAAATCGGTGTGACTCTGGGTTGCACTGACTTTGAAAAGTGTTCCTATACTATTTTTTGCAATTTCATGTACGACTTGCATTAACATCTGTGCATGAAGTCACACAGATGCCGACAAGCCGCACAGGAAGTCGCACTGATCTACGGCTTTGAAGTAGCACGATTTCAGAGCTGCGTTGGTGTGAACCAGGGCTTAATCAATGCACCAGCGCTGCAAAGTGTAAATGGGTTCCTAAACATTTCCCAACCACCTGGTTGATTTGTGAGCAGAGTACAAGAAAACTGGAATAATTACTCCCAGCTATCAATCAGGTGTCCACATTCCTCTAGTCTGTACTGGAATACGAATTAAAGGATAAGTTTACCTTTTGTAACATGTTACATGTCACACCCATATTAATGGTATAACATGTAACATGTTACAAAAGGACCAACTTCCGCTCTCCCTTGATCCCCTGTTTTGACAGCTAGCAGGGGGATCTTCTCCGTCTGCAAGCTGTCACAATTTTTAAAAAAACGTGGCTGTGTAGGGCTCTACCCGCCTGGCCACATCACTCATTCACAGTGTTCTGTAAATGGAAAAACGACAAGTTCCAACAGCCTCAGCGGCTGTCAGCTTGTAGTTGTGTCAATGAACTACCATGGTGCTGTGAGCACTGTGGTGCCCCATTGATTCTTCCTGTCACAGTGTATCTGTTTCCCTGTATGAGCTACAAGCACACTGATACTCTGACAGGTCTGCAGTATTGCTGCAATGCTTTCCAGGCTCCCAAAACAGAAAATAGTAAATTCACATTTATTTACCTGCAAAAAAAATTTGCATTTATTATTTTTGTTAAAAGGTGAACTTATCCTTCTAAACAATGTTATTGGGTGCCGTGGGAAAATGCCCAACTTTACTTTGCAATACTGGAAATATTTTCCACAGTCATATACATATTCTATTTTTTCATTCCTGATGTAACTGCTTTTTTTACACATTTTACTGGAAAAACAACAAATCATGATACTTGGTTTGTTATTGTAATAGTGCAACCAGATGTAAGTGTAACAATGGAAATGTTTACATTTTATTTCTACTTGACAAGAAAACAACACTAATACACTAATTCTTATGCCTCATGCACATGGACACTTACCAACTCCCATGTACTGAGGAGCAAAGTCCCCTGCGCTTAATGGCACCCAGAGAGCAGCACATGCCACATACAGTCATCAATACAAGTGAATGGCTGTATGCTGCTATGCTGGGCAGACCCGTGGATAAGGGGGTACCATCAGTCCTCCTCTACGGGGCCCAGCCTGGGTGAATCAGATATCAGATGTGGGCAGGGAGGGTGATTGGCACGGCAGGGGGCAATAACTAGAACCGATCCCCTGTATGGTTCTCTCTGCAGCAGCTGAAAGCTGGCTTCTCTCTCTCCCTCCCATTGGCTTTCAGCTGCTGCAGAGAGAGCAATACAGGGGATCGGTTTAAGTAATTGCCTCCCCACCACCACACCCATGACCCTCCCCGTGTACCAATATGTTTCCCCTGCCCAGGCCCCCCGCAGTGTACCTGGCTCCCCTTCTCTCCTTCCCACCGCAGCTGCAAGCACACAAAAGGATCCCTCAGGACTGAGAGTAGGGGAAGGGTCCTGTATATATGTCACATTTACCAGCACCCTTTCTTTCCTGAATGAACACATTGAGTAATCAGAACCTATCACTCATTGTGTTCATTTATAACTGAAGCATAGTAAGCTGTTTTTTTTTTTTTAGGGGGGACCCTGTCAGGTTGGCTGTATGGGCCCCATGGTTTTCTACCAGCAGTCCTGATGCTGGGGTAAACACTGATGGCTTCGGAAGTGGCTTTTACTCAAGCCAGCAGTACCATATTGCTGTTTCACTGGGACAAACTCTGCAGCTGTGCTTTTACCTGTAAACAGGGCTATCCAGGGCATATTCTGTAGCTTCTAATCTCAGCCATAACATGCACAGATACTGGATTGAGACCTATTCACCTATCCTCCTTGTTCAATTCTTAACCACTTGCCTAACAGGCACTTTTACCCCCTTCCTGCCCAGGCCAATTTTCAGTTTTCAGTGCTGTCGCACTTTGAATGACAATTGCACGGTCATGCAACATTTAACCATATGAGCTTTTTATAATTTTTTTCACACAAATAGAGCTTTCTTTTGGTGGTATTTAATCGCCACTAGGTTTTTATTTTTTGCAGTAAAAAAAAGAGAAAACAGTTTTGAAAAAAAAGTTTTTCTTTGTTTCTATTATAAAATTTTGCAAACAATTAATTTTCCTCCTTCACTGATGTGCGTTGATGAGGCTGCACTGTTAGGCAGCACTGATGGGCACTGATAGACAGCACTGATGAGCTGGCATGGATAGGCAGCACTGATGGGCACTGATAGGCTGCACTGATTATTATTATTATACAGGACTTATATAGCGCCGATAGTTTGCTCAGCACTTTACATTATGGAGGGAGACAGTACAGTAACAGTACAGATCAATACAAGAGGGATTAGAGGGCCCTGCTCCTTGGAGCTTACAATCTAGGAGGGAGGGATGAGTGGTGGCATGGATAGGCAGCACTGATGGGCACTGATAGGCTGCACTAATGAGGTGGCACTGATGTGGCGGGACTGGTGGGTATTGATGAGGAGGCACTGATGATGCTGCACTGATAGGTGGCACTGATAGGTGGCACTGATGGGCACTGACAGGTGACACCGATGGGCACTGACTGACAGCACTGATGGGCAGCACTGATGGGTGGCACTGCTGGGCACTGGTGGGGTGGCACTGCTGGGCTCTGATGACCAGCACTGATAACACTGTTCAACAGGTAAAAAGTTTTGGGCATAAAATTAGCTAATCTTACATAATTTTGGGGTGCTGAAAACGAAAATGACCCTAAAAAATGTTGATTGGCTCTAGTTTCCATGATATATTCACCCATCTAATGACGTAAGCCATTCAAAATTATGATGCAACTTCAGCTGCATATTGCGCAATTGATACTGGTGACCAATAGAAAATTGCATGTATACTGAGATGATGCAATATTAGCCTTTAATTGCATCACTTCACTGCATAAAAGCTGCAGTATCTGTAGCTGATTGGAGTTCGTCTTTACATTTCGTTTTATGCTTATATAGGCTACTCAGTAATGCCTCGAACTTGTGTGAATAAAGCAGATAATTTCTGCTATATATCTGCGGTGAAATAACTTTTATCTCACAAAAAAGGAGGATAACAGGAATGATTAAGAAAGCCTACAACTTGTATTTTTGGCTGCAAGATAGGAGACCAGGACAAGAGCTGGGCACCACATATATGCTGCAATTCTTGTGGGACGGCACTGGAGCAATGGTTGAATGGAAAAAAGGCATCTATGCCTTTCGCTGTGCCAATGATTTGGAGAGAGCCAACAGATCATGTTAGTAATTGTTACTTTTGTATGGTGCCTCCAATTGTAAAAGGGCTAAATAAGAAGAAAAAGTTATCTGTGCACTATCCAAATATTCCATTGGCAATACGTCCAGTTCCTCATGGAGAGGGCTACCAATTCCTAAAGCACCAGAATCCTTCGTGGTTGAGTCAAGTGAGGAAGAACCTGAAGCGTGTAGTCACGTGCAGTTGTAAGAGATAGCCCTTTCCTCGAATACAAGAGAAAAGCCAAGAGAAGCAAAACCGGCACAAACTGAAGACAAAACTAGTGAGAATCACTATGAGTGATGAGAATGAGTATTAAAATGATTCAACTTAGCTTATGGCTATAATTTTCTTGGTAATCCTATGCAATATTATTATGCCATTTAGGCTTTGTTATGTAGTCAATATCACTTGCTTTATATTTGTGGAAAGACATCTATCTATATAATTATTGTGCATTATGTAGTCATTACGCCTATAGTAGAAAACTTTCCGTTTACAGAAAAAACTAGAGCCAATTGACAAATTTCATTGTTATATTGAACTCAGAATTTGAAATTCATTAAGAAATGGATCCTTTTGTTTCCAAAACTGGCAAAAAATAAAAATTTGTTGAACAGTGTAATCAGGGCACTGATAAGCAGTGTCCTGATTATCAGTGCAGATTTGCTCTGTGACATTTGCCAGTTATCAACAATACTTTCCTCACGCTGTGAAAGCATGAGAAAAGTGCTGCCAATAACCAGCAACTGTATTTACTTTGTGATCTGCTGTGTCATTGGACACAGCTGATCATGTCTTAAAAGGCCGCTGTGATTGGCCTTTTACCTAGTCATTTATTTTGTATTATTGTATGAAAAAGTGTATACTTGCTTACATTTTTAAAAATATTTGTTCTGCATTTGTTTGTTTCAGAACCTCCACATTCAAAAGTGAAAATTGTACCAGTAAACAGTCAGTTACCAAAAATTAGCTTTCAAAGATCTGACAAGAATGGAAATATAAGGTACATGTCTTTCTAATAACACACAACTATTCACATTGCTAACTTAATTGGAACCTGTTCAAATTTGTACGCTCGTAACATAGCTATTTATTGTAGATAGTTGTTTAGGTATCCTTTAAGATATGTAACCCAGTTTAGATGTAAGTCAATTTAGGGGTTGATTTACAGAAACTGGAGAGTTCAAAATCTGGTGCAGCTCTGCACAGAAACCAATCAACTTCCAGGTTTTATTGTTAAAGCTTCATTGAACTAGCTGAAGTTAGAAGCTGATTGGCTACCATGCACAGCTGCACCAAATTGGGCACTCTTCAGTTTTAGTAAATAACCTTGTAGTATATATTCACAGAAGAGTTAAAACACCATGTTTCAAAAAGGGTGTCACAGAGGTAAGCGTATCTCACATATTACACTTATTTTTTCTGGAGAAGAGCTCCATCGTAAGCGAACATTCCTCTATAGTTTCAAATGGCGAGATTATTTAGATTTCCTAATATGTCTTTAATTCATTGCTGTGTTTGCCTGTGTTGGTCCTACATTAGGTTAGAATTGAGTCGAAACTACAAAGAGTTAGGCTGGCCATACATTATACAATTTTCTGTCCAATTTCTGCCCATTTTCCTTTAGATTTACCTTTAACTATGTAGTGCAAGGGCCTTCCAGATTTGATACAATTGAAAGTGTTGTTTAGGTTTTACCTCATATTATTTGGTTTTTGGCAAATCTAAACCATAATTCTCAAGAACATTGTATAATGTATGGCCAGCCTTACCTTAATGCTGGGGTTTGGCTCTGCTGAAAATGTGAGATATTTTAGATAACCATGCATATATATGACCTACACCTGTGGACCATAAAATATTATTACTATAAGTGCTCTATGAGTGCTTAAAATGAAGATCAAAAAAATTGTTTTTTAAGAATTCAGTCACTATAGTGACAACACTATATTTTTAATTTAAGCAATTAAGAATTGCTCTTGTGTCTGTAGCACTACCCCCTTAGGAGTTGCTGAGTTTCGAGTTCCCCTATACTGTTGCACAGCCTGGCAAACACACATTTCCTTCAGATCTTGCACGCATGAGACAGTAAACGGTCCTTGAGCTTGTTTTTTTTCTTTTTTTTTTTCAATTCATTAATGGGTATTGAACTCTGATGGGTTAAGGGGTGTATGGGATGCCAGAGAAAACTGTTAAACGGAGGACGGCATCCTGTAACTACAGGTCCAAAGACAGAACTTCTTGGAGAGCTCTCCAGCCTCTCCTGTTGTACCACCCCAGACCCCACATAAATCCTCTTTTTTTACCCAGCTGTCTGAAGGATCACTGGGAAAAGGGATTCAGTGCCTGCCCTTTAAAATGTACAGTCCAAGGTAAGGAGCTAATCAGGTTTTCCACCAGAGTGCTCTTTTCCCCTTTAGCTGGCCTAGGGGGTGTAGGGTTACACACTCAGTCCTTGTTTCCTGTGAGCTGGTGAGTTGGTAGCTGCCTTTAAGCCTTCCACTGGGCTGGCTCCTTCCCTGCTCCACAGGCGGTCCTCACTCTAGGGGCCGATGAAGTCTGAATGATCTTCCTCTCAAGTTCCAGCCTGCAGGTAGGCCCCTTCCCACTGGTCTCCCTCCCAGGCTCCTGCATCTCAGCCTTCCTCACATCTTCCACCCGAATGGTCCCTGCTACTGAGCAGGCTCACCCACTCTTAAGGGTTGTCCTGACCCCATGCCAAGCCTCCTGCCTGGGGATTGGTCAGGATCCCTCAAGAGTGCAGACCAGCTCCTCCTCACCCTCACCCACTGAATGTCCAAGTTTCTAAATCAGGGGGAGATATCAGAGAGCTGATGTACAGAGCCTCCCAGCCCTCACCCAAATTTGACCTTCTGCTAAAAAATTTGACCCAGGCTTCTACTCAGCCCTCTATCTAAAACATAATCAGATAGCTCCCTCTAGCTAACTAGAAGGGTGCTACATGTCTATTCCATAAAACAGTGCAAGTAAGCCTCTCTATCATGCCACTCCATAGGGTTCCCCTTCTGCTGATCTTGTTCAGAAAAAGCAGACTATGCTGGGAGGAGATTTACCTCAATGCATTACAAATGTGAAAAGAAGATTTTTCAATATAGATAAGCACTACAGTACATATGCACTGTACTACTTCTACCATTGCAGTATCTTTGCTGGGTTTATTTAGTAAGGCAAATAGCAACATTTTCAAACTATAAGAACGTCTAGAAGACAATTTTTGATCACTTTTATCATCGCCACTGCTCTAATCTGCTGAAAAGCAATACTTAATTGGTTTCTATTGTATCACTACCTCCTTAGCAGTTGCTGCGTTTTGGGTCCCCCTATAGTCCTTCACAGCCAGGCAACTCGCATTTCTTTAGACCTTGCACACTGAAGGCAGTAAACAGTCCTTGAGCTAGTTTTTTTTTGTTTTATTAAGGGTATTAAACTTGGATGGGGTTGAGGGATGTAGGGGATGCCCAAAGAAACTGCAACTTGAAGACAACTCCTTAGCAACTATGTACAAGTCTACAGACAAAGTTTCTCTTCTTGGAGATCTCTATAGTCCTGCTGGTGTACCACCTCAGACCCCAGATAAAATCTCCTCTTCACCCAGTTGCCTGAGGGAATCCCTGGAAAACTTCCCCAGAAACTGCCATTTTAAAGCAACAGTCCCAGATGGGGGCTAGTCTCTCACCAAAATGCCCTCTCCCCTTATCTGGCCCAAGGGGTGTGGGATTGCTCACTCAGTCCTCTCCTGCAAGCTTGTGGTTGGTGGCTGCCTTCAGGCCTTACACTGGGCTGGCTCTTTCCCTGCTTCACAGGCAGTCCTCCATTAGGGGACAATGAGGCTAAGAGATCCTCCTTTCCAGCACCTGCCTGCAGATAGGCCCCTCTCCCGAACCCACGCCCCAGCCTTCTCAATCAGTCTTCCATCTAACACTACTCATCCTGCTGAGTAGGCTCGTAGGCTCAGCCATACTCATAGGCTGCCCTGGACACATGCCAATCTTCCTGCTTGGGGATTGGCCAGAGTTTCCTGAGTATGTAGATTAGCCCCTCCTTACCCCTGCCTATTACCTTCTGGAAGCTTCACAAGCTTCTAAAGCACAGGGAGGTATCAGGGAACTGACCTGCAGAGCCCTCAGCCCTGACCTAAAGTGACCTGGGCGACTCATCCCAGGCTGATGCATACCGGGCTGCTACAAACCCCCTGACCGAAAACCTATCTAGCTCCCCCTAGCTGACTAGAATATGATGAGATTAATTAACTTAATATATTTTATATGTTCTTTACATATTCGCATTAACCGCTTCAGGTACACTGGTAGGGAAAACATATCTTGATATAATACACATTCACATATTGTTATGCATACAGGTCATCTTTACAAAGGGAGCATGCACTCCCAGGTTTCAGTTTATCTCCATAATCATGACTGCTGTTGAAAGCTTCACATCACTGCCATCAGGCAAAGAGACAACCACAGAGGTTAATAATCAGTAAGTTATAGGCCTGAATGTGAAAGTAGGGGTTCTGAATTTATTTTGCCATGAACATCCTCACCATTTTGTGTAAAGCAGAGGAATATTAAACAGATAATAGGCTACGGCTAACCTGACTCAACTCTCCTTGTATACAGTATTTACAGTGGAACTAAACTGTCTCAATCAACATTAACTCTTTTTAATCCTTATACGGATAACATTAGTAAAGACTGTAAAGACTGTTGATAGGAATGTTTATTATTTTTACTTGTTCCATATTTCACTTGCTTCCTGGTTTCTAGCCTGGGCCAAAATTATGTCATACATCCTATGATGTCTTCATGGGCATTTTTTTCTTTTATCTGGAGAAGGGGAGAAGGAACTTTCTTAGTTAAGCACACCCTCCTGCCTGAACACCTGAGCTAAGGGTAGATGGATTCCAGGAAATAAATGCTACATGAATCATCTACCCTTACTCAAAATGACCATGGCCAGAAATTAAAGGGGGTGTTTTTCAAAGTGATTTCTCAGCAAAATAAAGCATAGAGAAATAGATGGATGGAGGAGTTTGCTGAATATTAAAAATTAATTACATTTTGGTTTATGGTGCTCAGATGCAGTAAAGTTCTACTTTACAAAAGCAGACTTCATGAAATAAAATGTTAGGATAATTAGATTATTCTAATGATGACATTATTTTGCTGGCAATTTGAAATGTAAGATAACCTGGCAGTCATGTTCTCAGTGGACAGTTGATTCTATTTGAAGCTCACCATTAGCACTTTGCTTTTTCCAGTTCATACCAGGTGTTTGTGATGCAGTCGATGTCTTGGTGTTCTTTTACTTGTGAGTCTTTGGAAGCTGTCACATACTTCAGTAATATATCTAAGATGCAGGGATACGTCACTGCCGAGTTCTTCCCTGGAGACACTCCCGAACATCTGGAGCTGTTGGTTGGGGACAGGCAATACTATGGAGACTTCTATAATGCTCCCTTAGAACGAGGAAAAGACTACTGTGTAATACTAAGAACTGTCAGCAAGGTATGTTTCTCTGAAAATCTCTCTAAAATAACATTTTATTATATGAAAAGCAACAAACGAAATTTTAAAAAGATTACATTTTGTCCAAATACCATAAATACATTGAATAATTGCTAGACTTATTCATACTGTACCTTTTACCTCTAACCAGAGGTTAAAGCGCGACCCCAGTTCTTCAGATGACCACATTTATGACAATTAAAATTAAGGTATGCATTGTCATTTTTAGAAATGTAATGTGGGAATGGGGATCTGTAAGGTGAAGAGATGCATGTTAGGGGGCCCTCTGAATGGAGTTCCGTTTTTAGATCTCCATCACCTCCTGCACACTACCTTAAACTAACCATCTTCATACAGTATATGATTGCCATTGTCCAACAATCCTTATTGAAACCTGTCTTGAGAAATAAATAGTAATCAATAAGTTTAAAATGTCATATCTATGACTTTGTAAAGCCCAATTAAATGGCTTCTTACACAGTTTTACCTTTCTATAGAAACAGTTGGCCTATCTCAAGCCGAGAGACTAGCTTATTAGTGCATGTATCCAACAGTTCTGTGTTCTACATCAGTTTTTTAAACTTTTATCTGGTTTTCTTATCTCTGCCAGCTAAAGTCACATTCTTCATTAAAGTGTCACTAAACCCTGGACCCTGCATTCACTATATCTGGTCTCCCACAGTACACACACATGAAAATGCAATAATTGTAGTAAATATAAACTGCTAAATACATTTTCTCATCAGCAGTTAGAGAAGTCTTGTGACTTCTATCAGTGTCCAGCTGAGCACTGGGTAAAGCTTGTAGGAGATGTTTCTCATTCAGCCCTGAATTTCCTATAAGTATGCATGACCCCTGAATCTCTGTCTGGACATTGCTGATTGGCTCTATGCTGATCACATGCACCCTCCCAAAGAAAAAAAACTCTCTTGCAATACACGCCAAATTGAGCATGTGCAGAGTGCCTCCTACAGCTCTGTACTATCAGCAGATGGACTGGGGACAGTAGCAGAAGGGGAGGATCAGAGGAGACAGGATCAAACAGCCTTGTTACCCAATGCGGAGGATTAAGCCCTTAGGTTCCACAGTGAGTATAACAAGCATGCATTACTGCATATACAGACTGATTTTACTGTTGTGGGTTTAGTAACATTTTAAGGGGGTTACCATCCTCTGTTGAGTCTCTAGCAACTTCTCCCACAGTAATTCATCCAGTATCTCTACTCCTGCTTATCTATGACTGCCTCTGGATATCAAATGTTCATGTGTGTACTGTTTATGGGCTCCACAACACAGTGAAATCTGCAGCAGCAGACAAAACCTGCTTGCACATTTGGCCACAAATGTTCATTGGTATGTGTGAGTTCTCACCCTGATTATCATACTGGTGTTTACATGGAACTAGACTGTTTAGTCTAGTTGTCCAATGTAGGGTTGGCTTCATTCTAATTTTGATCCTGTGCTTACATATCTCCTTCTTAATGACCTTTACCTATCTGACCATTTTGAACCCCATTTACCCTAACTCTTGTTCTCAGCTTTGACCTTGGTCTACACTTTCACTTTTATGGTTTGCATTGTTTGAGGATATCCTGGAACTAATATCTTGCTCTTCCCCCAATTATTTTTCTGTCCATTCAACTACACAGTCTATGCCTAGATGATTTGACCTTTGCTTGAACTATGACAATCCTGTATTTAAGCCTCCGCTCAGTTCCCTGTTCATTCTGGTTAGACCTTAGACTTGTTGATAACCCAATAGTTTCCTAAATAATCCATGGGGCTGCAAGCCTGTCCTAGCTAAATAATTGACACATAGAGCATCTGTAGATGCTCCAAACAAGACCTCTTGTATAAGCCCCCTTCCCCATGGGGCAGACTCTTCCAGGAGTTTGCTTGCTCAGTGGGGTATCTGTCCGCTGATCCCTGCTGAGAGTAGATGGATGGCTAGTCCGTGTCTGTTCTGCTCATGCAGAGCAGACACAAACACAGCCCACTCTCCTCTAAGGGCAGTCAGATGTAAACAGACTGCCTGTTTGTTTACACCAAACCACGATCCAGTCCACTAGACGGAAGAGGGACAGATCCACATCTATCTATTTTTAGCGAATCAACGCATATGTCCATTTACACCCGCTGCTCCATAGAGGACAATGGAGGGTCCAATCGGGTCCACCTGAAAATGGACCCTGATCGGTCCGCTCATGTGAAAGGGGCCTAAAGCACAACCAGACTGTTTTTCTGCTAATAGTTAAAGTAGAACTGTAGGCATTCTTTTTCCTTTAGATAGAATGATGGAGGGGGTTTTTTGCCATCTGTGTCCCATTGAGTAGATTTAACTTCACTTCCTTCCCCATAGTCAAAATAGGAAGTGAGAGGAAATCCAAGCAAATTAAAGGAATCCCTTGGACTCCTTTGGTTCACCAGAGCTAATGTCCCCTTTGGAAGGTTTCCCTTCTATTACTTTTCTGGGGACAACCCAAAATTTGGGATTTTGATGATAATTGTAAACAGCACAAATAGAGAGGGCCAATCTCCCGAACAGGGACGCAGACAGCCAAAAAAGAGTAGGTGTTCTAACCCATCTCCACTCTGTCCAAAGCTGAAAATAAGTTTTGCCTTTGGTTATACATTAAGAGTTGTGCAGCAACATTTATATCCTAGGTAGGTGCCCATCCTTTAGGTTGTTGTCCATACCCTACACCTCCCTCCCTTATTAGCAGCTTTTTAATTTTGAATTTCCAAGACTGGTAGTTCTGTTTTTGTCAGGCTTGCAAATGAAAGCTTTGTTGCAACTGTGTTACTGGCCATTTTCTTTTATGCTGTTGTAGCCTTCTTTTTCTTGCTGTACCTTGCACTCTTTTGCTGTTGTTGGCTATGACTGGGTGTCTAGGCCCATAACCTGTAAGATATTCTTTATATAGCCCTATGGAACAGACAGTGCACTGTCCGCATGTATTCATCTGCTGCATCGCTGCTAACAGGAAACAGGGACTTTTATTATAGAGAAAATTAATAGAGTTTAACCACAGATGGAGCTACAAACTTATAAACACTTCCATCCATTGGTTGAGGAAAATATCTCTACTGAATATTTTGGTGTAGTTGTTGCACAAAAGTACATAAACCTTGTTGTCACGGTATAGGGGCCCCTGCCGCTTATTGATTTTGCTTAGTCCCCTTATTAATTCCCTGTACCAAACATCCCTCAGAATCAATCACTGTATGTCCTCCGTGTCACCCTGCCAAATGGCCAAATTCAATTACTGTAGCTTCCCCCCTCCCTGCCAGCTTGCTACATGTCCCCAAATTGCAATAAATAATTTCCAGCACCAGGTCCTTCTGATGTCCCCAGGGGGCCCAGTGTCATCCTGGCCCCCCTCACTGTGTCCCCTGTTCCAAGCATGAGTTATCCCTGTTGTCCATTGACCCCCATCCACCTCTCATCCTGCCGCAGATGGACGAGAGGTGCGGCTTTCACCACCCCTGCCACTTTTTTCTCCCCCTATGGTGCGGCTGGAGAGGAGAAGGTGGCGAGGTTCACACCTCTCTGCAGAGAAGTGCAAACCTCTTGCAGGGATGTTACGGGCTGCAGTGTTCTCACTGACACCACCCCAGCCCTGTCATCCGCAGCGCGGGCACGGGACATTCCCGTGCTCGCGGATGTCCCTGGACAAAGGTTGCGCTCACAAGAAGCGCGGCCCATGTCCAGAGGGCGTGCCTCATTGCTGGGCAACGAGGCACGCCAGCTCCGGCCCTCCCCAGTTACCAAGACGACTAGGGAGCGCTCCGGTTACCAAGAAGCTGATGCTCTGGGCATCTTCTCCACTACGCAGCCAAAGGAGGGAGCCCAGCTGCGGCAGGACCCTCGTGGCTAGACTCTGCCAAGACCCCCAGCCAAGGAGGATTGCCTGCCAGTGCCGGAGACCCCCAGTCCAGGGGGATTGCCTACAAGTTGCCTGAGACCCCAGTCCAGGGGGATTGTCTACTAGTGGCCAGAGACCCCAGTCCAGGGGGACTACCTACCAGTTGCCTGAGACCCCAGTCCAGAGGGAATTGCCTGCCAGCTGCCTGAGACCCCGGTCCAACAGGAGAGACCACCCGCCTACTCCAGACCTCAACAGGTACCCTTGTCTTATTTTGTATCCCTGGGAGACCAGGCACCCTGTCGGACCCATGGGCATATGCTTTTCCCTGTTTTACTTGAACTGCTCCCGTGTTGACCCCCCTACTCCCTCTGTTGGATTACAATCTGCTACAGAGACTCTTCCTTGCCCCTGTACTGGTCTATAAGTGTTTCAGCCCCTCCTTGCTGTTCTCTTGCCACTGAGGTCACCCTTCTGGCGAACCCCCGTATTGAGTGACTGTCATCTTTGGTCTCAATAAAGCTTTGTGCGTTTGCCATCTACTCTGTGTGTTCTGTCCTGCCTACCCTCTGTCACATACTGGTTGCCAGACCCCACCGTGGCCAAGTTTAGGGTCCAGGCCACAGCGGGGCGGCAGGAGGGGGGTGGAGACCAGCTTTGGTGGAAGCAGGGGCTGTTATACCGCGAGGCAGGCCCAAGCTGCCCTGGGCAACCCTCTGCTAGCTCTAAACAACTGGTAGTGCCTAGACGGTTCAGGTTCCCACTACTCCAGATAGCCCATGACATTCCGGTAGCTCGCCACTTGGGTAAGAGAACAGAGCAGCGGGTGACCCAAGTCTTCTACTGGCCAGGTATCTCCCAGGCCGTCGCCCACTTCTGTCAAACCTGTGACATCTGTCAGAGGAAGGGACGCCCAGGGGACCACCCCAAAGCCCCGCTCCACCCCTTACCCATCATTAAAGAGCCCTTTCAGTGGGTAACTGTAGATATCCTGGGACCCCTGGCCTGGCTCAGTAAGTTTGGAAAGCGGTACATCCTCACGGTGGTGGATTACGCCACCTGCTATCCCAAGGCTGTCCCCCTGTCCAGCATCTTCGCCCCTAAAGTGGCCGAGGCCCTAGTCACAGTTTTTTCCCGGGTGGGTTTTCCCAGCGAGATCTTGATCGACCAGGGTACCCAGTTCATGTCCGAGGTGGTCTGATCCCTCTTGCGCACGTGCGGGGTACAGGCGATCTGGACCACTCCCTATCACCCCCAAACCAATGGCCTGTGCGAACGCTTCAATGGAACACTGAAGAGCATGCTGAGGTCCTTCGTTGACGGGGAGGCAGACTGGGAGAAGCTCCTCTCTCACCTGCTGTTTGCATACCGGGAGGTACCCAAGAGTCAACGGGGTTCTCCCCCTTTGAACTCCTGTACGGGTGGAAGGTCCGCGGTCCCCTATCCCTGCTCCGGGAGCATTGGGAATGGCAGATAGAGGACACAGGTACCCCCGTCATCCCCTACGTTCGAGCTGTGGGAGAGACTGACCCGCCTGGCCACCATGGCCCCGCGGCCACTTCCGGGCGGCAACCCAGACGCGCCAGAAGGTATTGTACGACCGCAAGGCATGCGGTCGTGAGTTCACTGAAGGGCAGCAGGTGCTCAAGATAGTCCCCAACCCCCAGAACAAGCTCCAGCACACCTGGGAAGGACCCTAAAAGATCCTTCGCAAGTTAGACGAGACTAGTTACGTCATTAGTCTCGACGCCCATGACCGCCAGCCTGTTGCACTGGAGGGGGGAGAAGATAGTGGCAGATAGTGGCAGGAGTGGTGAAAGCCGCACCTCTCGTCTATCAGAGGCAGGATGAGAGGTGGAGGGGGGTCAATGGACAACAGGGATAAATTATGCTTGGAGACAGGGGACACAGTGAGGGGGGCCAGGATGACACTGGGCCCCCTGGGGACATCAGAAGGACCTGGTGCAGGAAATTATTTAATGCAATTTGGGG